GAAGATCTCCTCTACGCTATATGTCGGCAACTTGTCCTTCTACACCACCGAGGAGCAGATCCAGGAGCTCTTCGCCAAGTGCGGAGACGTCAAGAGGATTGTGATGGGGCTGGACAAGATCAAGAAAACCCCCTGTGGCTTCTGCTTTGTCGAGTATCCTTTCTGGTTCCCTGCTACAGCCAGCCCGTGTGCGTGGTTGCCACTTCGGGTTCCGCTCCCTGCACAGCCAGCCTAGCTGGACTGCTGTGGAGAGCCTCGAAAGCAGTGATAATCGGGTGCTTTCTGCCAGGCACTTCCCTTCCAACCTTGCTACTTCAACACCACCACCTCAGTTGGGAAGCAGACTGCACAGCAGTGCTGTAGGTGGACAGTGCTGCTGCTGCTGCTGTGCAGAGACCTCCTTGAATTTCTTAATTTCCTTAGTGGTGTTAGGACCAGAATGAAAACTATTGCAGTCATCAGTCTGAGCTCTTGCATGGCCAGGGCACATGTTCACTTTCTCACCTTAACTTTAGACCTGAGCAAAGTAGCAGGATAAGCCATGGCAGCATTCCCAGGCAGAGGGTGCATGCTTGTACAAGTCATACCCTGAACTGTCTCTGCGCTCCCGTGAGGCCTGCCCCTCATGTTCAAACTCAGTCAAGTTTCACAGAGTATAAAAAAGCGTTTTACAGGTTTCTTGCCCTTAGCAAAGCTTTAACATGTTTGTTTCATCTACTTTAGAAATAGGTGATCCTAAGCTATTTCTTGTCTGTGCAGGTACTAACATTCACGTTCAGAATCCTTTCTGTGTGGGAGCTATTTTTAGTTTGGATTTATATGAATACAGTATTTGATCCCATAAAGAAGAGCAGTTAGAGAAGAAAAGGCTGGAAGGCAGGGATTTTCTGCTTCTCCGGTACAATAGTTTCCTTTTATTATCGTTGTATCCAGCAAAATAGTGTGCTTATTTCTCCTTATAGTATACTCCAGGTACTACACAAGAGCAGACGCTGAGCACGCCATGCGCTTTGTCAACGGCACACGGCTGGATGACCGCATCATTCGAACTGACTGGGACGCAGGGTTTAAGGAGGGGCGGCAGTATGGAAGAGGAAAGACTGGAGGACAGGTAAAGGCAATCCCAGTTCATACCTTGAACTTGATCCTCCTCAGACTGTGCTAGTTTTGTCTCATGCAGAACAATGTGTAGGCTGTGAAGACCTGGCGATGAACTTCAGCCACTCCCAGGTTGTTTCAGTAACTGACACCAGGTGTTAAAAGCTAGAAATAGAACTTAAGGCCATTTCTGTGTAGGACACCAAAATTCCTGCAATGCAAGCAGAATGCTACCTAAATTCAAGCTAACATTCTTAAAATTATGCAGATTTGCAGGGAGGGGGACAGCATAGCTACTAGGCTAATCTCAGCATGCAGGAGGCTGCCCCACTGCAAAAGTGAGATTCCTTTGCAGATTTGGAGAAAAATATCCTGGGTGTAGGGGAGAAAATACCCTGGAAGCCAAGCCTGGCAATCCAGAAAGCTGGATTGCAAAGCTGAATACAAATATTTCGGGGTCTTGTTTGCTTCTTGTCCAGATTAAAGACCTCAACCATCAGATATATCCTCATTTGTCATTTTCATCACCATTACCTCCTTTTTGGGGGATTATTTTAAGAGATTTCAAATGAATCGAAGTGCTTCTAACCTGAACTTTTTTTCTCCACCAACTGAGCAAGGAGGGGGTGAGGATTCTGGAGCCTAGCAGGAGACAGGCAGTGCAGGATGCTAATATCTGTGTTCCTGCTGTGCCCCAGGTGCGAGACGAGTACCGGACAGACTACGATGTTGGAAGAGGTGGCTTTGGCAAGATCATTCAAATGCAGAAGGCGAGTCATCAGCCTGCAGTTTATTAGTTGCCTCGTGTATCCTAGCTCGTAGAGGGCTTTGTCCTTCCAGAGCTAGCCCTGTTCCCAGATCTTGGATTGGGGTAGGGAGCGAGATCCAAGTTCCAGCAAAAGGTGACCCTCCTTAGTCTGTGGATGTAAGTGTATTCATTCCCCCTTCCTTCTGGGCTAGAGAGGGTGCTCTGTGCTGATACAGGGCAACAAGGGGGAAAAAAATGGAGAGGATTCTGGGTAAGAAGAAATGCAGCATGTCCCACACACCTTGTGCTAGGATAGTCTTCACATTGCAGCTCAGCATGTGGCTTCCTTAAGGCTGTGACTGCAGCCATGCTTGCTCTCATTTAATACTTCTTAAAAGCTTACCACCATCAGAGCCCTTCAGGTGCCTGGGCACCTTCTGCAGATAGATGAGAGATTGGGGTTTCTAATTTACACCTCATCTGCTTACAAAGCAGTATCACTGTTTGGCTGAGAGAAGTGGAACAAGGTATTATCCTCTTGGAGGTATACGACTGCACATGGGTTGGTCAGGGCCTGCAGAGCATTTCTCTTTGTGAAGCTCCCAGTGCTGTGTGGCTTTTCAGATCCTCACTGTTCATTGTGATTTTGTTAAAAGTGTCTTGTAATGTTTTAAATAAACAGTTGGAATGCATCTGGCTGAGACGGAGTTAATTTCCCCCCTAGCAGCTTTTATAGTGCTGGGCTTTGTATTGCTAACTAGGTGTTGACAACACACCAGGGTTTTGGAAGCTGCTGCTGAGTGCTCCCCAGCATCAAGGCTGAACATTCAACATTCCCCCATCACCAGTAGGCTGGGGGTGGGCAAGATCTTGGATGAGGACAGGGCCAGGACAACTGACCCCAACTGACATACGTTGTTCCCTGTGAGAGTGCTGAGGTGCTGGCACAGGGTGCCCAGAGAACCTGTGGCTGCCCCCATCCTTGTGAGTGTTCAAGGCCAGGTTGGACGCAGGGGCTTGGAGCAACCTGCTTTAGTGGAAGGTGTCCCTGCCCGTGGCAGGGGTTGGAGCTGGGTGAGCTTTGAGGTCCTTTCTAAGACAACCAGTCTGTGGTTCTGTGATATTCCATGCTATGTGATGTCTGCTCAGCAATGAAAGCTAAGAGAAAGGAGGAGAGGAGGGGTATTCACTATTACTATGTCTTCTGGAGCAGCCACTATGCTTGCTGAAGCCCTGCTTCCTGGGAATTGGGTGGACATCACCTGATGATGGGAAATAATCAATCTCCTGTTTTCCTTTGCTTCTGCACCCAGCCTTGCTTCTGCTTTATTAAACTACCTTTATCTTGATCCACAAGTTCTTTTCCATCTTATTTTCTTCCCCTCTGTCCTGGGAGCGACAAAGCAGCCTAGTGGGCATCTGGCCACCAGCCCAGGGCAGCCCACTGCCGTCCTTTTTGGTGCCTAACATGGGGCCTGAGACAAGGGCAGGTCTGTACCCAGTGGGCTATAGTTACAGCAGTTACTTGGTAGCCAGCCTCTGTGTGGCTCAGCAAGGTTGTTGACTGCTGACTTAGGAACATGGTACAACCATGGCTGGCTGCTTTTCCCTGGCACTGGTGGCCTTGCTGTGTGGAGAGGATGAGAGAATATGTCTCCCTCTTCCTACCTGGGATTGATGTGGCTGGTTTTATTACGCAGGTTCCCGAGGTCCTTGCTCACCCTTACATGAGCTGTTTAATACTACTTACACATTATGGGGTTCGTGGGATCTGGTGTCATCCTGGTGTAAGAGAAGACAACTTCTGGGTGAGGCAATACTGCAGCGTGCCCTGGGGTGGCTGGTCCCTGGGTGCAGGCTGTGTGGAAGGGTTTGGGCAGGTGTCATCTCTCATAGCCTGGGACTTCACAGCTGAACAGGCAAGTAACCCTGGCAAGCTGCTGGGCCAGCTGACAAGGGTGCCTTGGCTACCCCAGTGAAAACCAGCAGCTTCTGACATTGATCTGGGGCTTGGCCTGTGCCTACTGAGCTGCTGCTCGGTACTACCAGAGAACTGTGGTTAAGACAGGGACCCAAACCAGCTCTAAGAATACCTTGACTGAGATTGGGGCACAAACTACATCTGAGGACATGATAGCAGAGATTGGGACACAAAACGCATCTGAGGACATGATAGCAGAGATTGGGACACAAACTGCATCTGAGGACACCATGGTTGAGATAGGGGCCCAAACAACAACTACAGTATTTGACCCAGTAATGAAAAAGATACAGCGGACCAGGAGGCCGACAGGTCCACATCACCAGTAAGAGAGGAGGAAGAAGAGGAAGTGTTTGATCAAGCAGCTGGTCCTTCAGACAAGAAACTGGAGGAAGGAGTGAGGGAATTCAGACAAGAAGCAGAATCTACCTGGTCTCTGGCCTCACTAGAACTTTGAGACATGGAGAGATTACAGCTGCCAGACGGGTGAGTGGATTCCTGCCTGTCACAAGGAGTTGCTTATAAAGTGTATGGCTGCTCTGAGGAAGACAAGTCCTTACTTTTCACATCAGCAGGTTCTAGAACTTTCCCTATCCTATCACCTGTTCCACAATCAGAAGAGTGTTTAAAGCAAACCAAAGGCCCAGTGTGTGCTTCAGAGAGCAAGGAACTGGGAACTCCCTTCCCTATCTTTCTGATGGGCTTTCTTCCCCTTTTCAGATGGGCTTTCTTCCCCTTTGTGTCCAAACAGCAGACCAGAGGAGACGAAAACCTCTCCTGACCCATTGCCAACAGCTGGGCGGGTAATTCCACTGAAGAAGTGAAACCCTGCCTGTGCATTGGGGTTCTATTATGCAGATAATAGCAGCTGCTCCCTGCCCAGTAAGGTGTAATCATGATTTTTCAGGCATTATCTCATCCAAGATAATAGAAATGGTTGTACACCCATCTGCAGACCAGGCACACAGTTCAAATCAGTTTAGCACTCTCCTTACCCCCAAGTCTTGATAACTGCATTCACATTTAGACTGCTGAAATGTGTCCTACCTGCTTGTTCTGCAAGTCAGGCTGCAGCCCTGTCCAACTGTCACAGGCTTTGAGGGAGCTGCATGTTCAGTCTTCAGCAGGTTGAAGCAATGACAGCACTGAGAAGAGCCCCTGTGATGCAGGCTGCTCCTGAGGTGGAAGTGGAGTGAAAGGAGCAGGACATTAAGAGCAAAACCAAGAAGCAGTCATCTGTCCAGCCTGGCAAAGCAGCTTCAGCACGAGGTCCTTTGTGGAGAATGTGAATTATAGAGGGAATAATTGCCTGGGCAAACAGCAGTGAAACAGGAAAAAATAAGGAAGATGAAGAGAGGTCTCAGCCATGAAACTCTAGGATTAGCTAAGGAATCTCTTTGTGTTTGCAGCAACTTTCAGTTTGCTCCTGGAAGAGCCTGGTGTGGCCTGCTGGGCACATCAGTCCCATGTGTCTGACAGAACACACAGGAACCTGTTGAGGCAGGTGTCTGGGCTGGTTTATGACTGCAGAAGGCATCAGTCCCTGTTTTTTTGAGATACTGTGATTTCAGCTTTACACAGACCTCCCTCTTCCACTCACTTTAGCCTGGAGGAAGAGTGTCTCCTTCAGCAAGTCCCAAACCAGGGCTAGCAATCTATGCACTGTTCCTCTTTCAACATAACCTTTGCAAAGAGATTTGTGCTGGCTTTTATTCAAATACATGTATTTGCCTAAAAGAATCCACCTCAAATACTACAGCTACAGCAAATGTGAGGATCCCTCCCTCCTCCTACAGCAGTCTCAGGCAGAACCAAAGAGAGATGAGAAAGTTCACAAGTCAGTAGGTGCCCCCAGCTCTGCGCCTGTGCTGCCATGTGCAGGTACCCCCCTGGCCTGTGCTGCACCAGTCAAAAAGGTGTCCTTGCCAAGAGCGTTCCCCAGGATCCTGGCTCAGCCGCTCCTGCCCTGGCCCAGCTCCTGGCCTGGGCTCACTCTGTGCCTTGGAGACTCAGGCTCCCAGGCTGCTTCCAGACACCTTTCACCAGCACACAAAGGTCCTATTATAAGAGAAACCCCTTTGTCCTCACTGCTAGGGCAGTGCCAAGCCAACAGACTGAGACCTGATAAGACCTGATGAGACCCAAGAGAAATGGGGTGCAGCTTAGCAGCAAGCACGTGGCTGCCTCCCCGAGGCGTGCTGGAAGCAAAGGCCCCATTTCCCTGGCCAACAGCCATGTTCTTTCTGTAATGAGCCAAGTTCACGCCAGCACCAACCAAAGGAGCTTAAACCACCATTCAGGCTCCCTGGGGGATCAGGAACTGGACTCCAGTGAGTTTCTGCTGGATCCCTTGTGATCTGAGACATAATTCCTCCCAGACAGAGAAATTAATCAAGTGGAGCAGGTTGGCCAGGAAACGATGCTCCTCCTCAGGCTCCTCAGCCACAGTTTCGCCCAGGAGCACCACACTCAAAGCCATCTGCACTGGGGAGGGGGAGAGGCGGGCTGCCTCAGCAGCTTTCAGAATCCACTTAGATCCAGGAACAAGAGCACACTTTAGAGCAGTCAGGAGAATGGCAGCACGATAGTCATGGTGCTCCCCAGCCACCTGCGCCCTGAGAAGGCCCTGATCACCTTCCTCTCCCGTTGGTGTCATACAGGATCTCACACTTTGCCATACGCCCCAGGCCCACCAGGCTTGGCATCACAGTGCTCGGTACATGAGGTGGACCATGTTGTCCTCCACCCCACAGAAGCAGTAGACCAGCTCCCGTGGCTGGGCACTGTCACACCCCAGGAAATTAATCATGGAATCCCAGCCTGGTTTGTGATGAAGGGACCTTAAAGTTCATCCAGTTCCAAGGCAGGGGCCCCCTTCCACTAGAGCAGGTTGCTCAGAATCCTCTTCCCCGCCATCTCTGCTGCCAGAGCCACCATGTGCTCCATGTGCGGGCGCTGGTGTGGCTGCACAGCTCCAAAGGGGGGTGTTGCAGTCCATGCTGCCTGAGCTGGGGCTCTCACCCAGCCCGTGGGCACCTGCATGCGCTGTACCCGAGGCATCGCCAGCCTCCCCGTCCCTGCTGCACCATGACCCTTCCTCTTGCACCGCGCGTGCCACCTCCGCTGTCTCCTCTCCACGCTGCTTGTGTCCATGGGCAGAGTGCGGGTGCAGGTGGGATACACTGCGAGAGGGACTCCTGGGAGTCCTGAGGGACCAGGACCCGCTGAGCACAGGCACGTTGTCGTCGCTGTCACTGCAGCGTTGTCAGCCCTGGGCCGGGCTGTGACAGAACCTGCCCTTCAGCTGGTTTGCAGCATGGGCAGGGAACAAGAGCAGGATCCGGGTCACCAGCAGCAGCGCTGGGGAGAAGGGAGAGCAGGAGAGGAGAAACTACCGGGCAGCAGGTCACGGTGCCAGACCTGCAAAGGCAAAGCGAGGGGAGCAAGAAGGGGGTGATTAGAGAGCTGGCCATCTGCTGCGGCGTGGGCCGGGAGGATTATCAGGCACATGCAGCCTCCTGCCAGCGCCTGGTGCCAGCAACCGGGTCACGCGCATGTGAGCCGAGGGGTTGGGACCTGCCTGGAGACGAGTAAGGAGCGATAGGAATCTCCTCAGCACCAGCTTTGATCTCCTGCAGCTCCTCTGGATGGGCAGGGCCTGCAGCACAATGGAGCACTGAGGAGCTCTGTCACACCAGGGATCCCATCTGCCCCACGGGCATTCCCTGGATCCTGAGGCTTGGGCCCCGCTGATGGATGCATCCTGCTCACGAAGCTCTGCTCCGCCGGCCGGTCACCCGTGGGGAAGAGGACCTGAGGGTACCTGCTCACCGGTCCTACAGGGACGAAGGCAGTTCATTAACTCCTCATGCTGTAGCATGGACCAGCCTATTTTAACTCCCAGAGGGAGCATTGTGCCCATTACTTGTGCCAAACACAGCCCCAGCCAACAGCCCTTCAGCTCCCCTGTAAATCCAGGGTAGGTGGCAAAAGGGAGATCACAAACCCAGCCTGGCTCCCAGGGGAGCCTCCCAAGCGGTGCTGCAGCCGGGAGCGGAGCACAGGAGCAGACGCCAGCCCTGCCTGTGCTCCTGCCCGTGCCTGTGCCCGCCCTGCACAGCAGCTATCAGTGGTAGAGTGCAGGCAGGAGAGCAGCTCCAGGCTTGCCTGGCTCCCTGCAGGGCTCCGCTGGAAGGCTGAGGGGTGGAGCCTGTGCTCTGGATCCGGGTGGAAATTCCCCTGGTGATGGGCAAACCGCTGGCAGCTGTGTGCAGGGGTGGAGAGCAGGCTCTGCTGACTGCTGCCTTTCCTCAGGACGGAGAATGGCGCCTTCCAGAGCAGCACGGGAGGGGAAAGCTCATCCTGCAGCCCCAGCACCCGCGAGCCTTCACCCGGAACACGCTTCCCTCCCGGCCCCTCTGTGCATGGGAGAGTCCCGGGTGCTATTAGCACCTCTCAGGCCACACACAGGCTGGCGCAGCAGCAGTGGGAGCGGGTGCTCCCTTGTGCCAATGTGCTGGGGCTCAGCTGGGTGTTATTCACCCACCAGCTGCTGTGCTGGGATGACCCATCCCTGGCAGTGTTCGAGGTCAGGTTGGACACAGGGGCTTGGAGCAACCTGCTCTAGTGGAAGGTGTCCCTGCCCGTGGCAGGGGTTGGAGCTGGAGGAGCTTTAAGGTCCCTTCCAACACAAACCAGTCTGGGGTTCTGTGATTCCATGTACAGTAATGCCGGTGGGGCCCAGGAAAGGCAGAGGTGCTGCCTGGCAAAGGACGTGGTGCCATCCCTGGCAGCTATGGGCCAAAGGATGAAGTAGGCAGAGGGGGACAGGGCTCCTCCAGAATGGGGCTGGGACAGCCCCCCCAGGCAGGGGCCCAGG